CATGGTCGGTTTCAAAGAGCAGACAGAGTTAGGGCCAAAGGGCTATGCTATATATATGCAGTGGGTGACACGTGTACGGGTTAAAGCACTTTCTGGCGTAAAGGAAAAGACAATCAGCCTTGTTACTGTACTTTCCAGCTGGCTTTCATAATCAAGGAGAAGTTTAAAAACCTTACGAGCTATCTCGAGATCACATAGACCAAGGTGGAATTTTCTCACTCAACAATATGAAACTACCTGATTGACCCCAGCTCAACGCCGTTTAGCGGCACCCATCCACGGTCCGACCAACCTTTCAAGGTATCTATTTCGCATTTGATGCTAATTTCTTACTGCAGACTATGCACGTTTGGAGAGAGAGAGAGAGAGAGAGAGAGAGAGAGAGAGAGAGAGAGAGAGAGAGAGAGAGAGGGAGAGAGAAGGGGAGAGCGAGCGAGTATGTGTGTGTGTGTGTGAGAGAGAGAGAGAGAGAGAGCCGTTGGGTACTTGAAAAGAAGCCCCCTGCCTCTCTGTCTCTCTCTATGGGGCGACGTCAAACGAGTGAGAGTTTCACTGTGTTAACAGAGGCCGATATTTTCTTAAATACGGCTGTTTATTTAACTGCTATAACAAACGTTATTGACCCATATTTTTTATTAGAACATGCTCCGTTTTAAGTTAGAAAATGGCCCCGATTGTATCCACCGAACTATGTGGCATCCTGGGGTAGTTGGTGGTTGCGTAACTGGTCTGCAGAAAGTATGCACACAAGAGGGTAAGACTGGATCGCTTGGTCAATATTCGAGGTAAGAGATCAACGTGGAATCAGCACCCTTCGTCCCAGCGAAGGTTACTAAATCTAAGTACATATTATGGTTGAATAACTGAGTGATTGATTACGTATCAGCCCCGCCCATGACTCTCGGATCGCATCTCTTGAGAGCAGTGTCGGGGATAGACGGTCGCTTCACAAGAGCATCATGTTGTGGAGGAACGTGATCAGCTTATGATAGTCCTGATTTCTTCGGCTCTCGATTAGGAGATCCTTGGCTTTCGGTAGGATGGATATTGCCTTGGGCAGAGGTCACCCGCTTCTCCACCTTCCAACTCATACACGGTCTCCCCGAAGATCGCCTGTGGTGGCGTGCCAACACCAGCCCGGATTCAGCGAGAGCAACTATGTCATTCTTTCCCTAATTTGTCGCTCGCATCTGTGTGAACTCTGGGTTGTCTGCCAGCGGGTCGAGTAGTGCGCATGTTTCTGCATCATTGAACTCCCAGGTCCCTAAAGCCAGCAGCCAGTGGGGCCACACTTGGGACTCTACCTTGTTGCCAGTCTCCGGTACTCCATGACCTATGGAAGTTAAGAATAATAAAAAAAAAAAGCGGGTTCATTCTATCTAAAACTCGTCAGAAGATCTAAAGGAATAAATATATTTAATGGCATATTTTTACTTCATTCGTTAATCACATATATTGTAACGTTTTATAGAAAGGCATATCCATTAACAAACTTTTTAATGTGGCACTAAATAAGCCCGGTTACTTCTTCATTTTCCTTCCCTGTGATTACTCAATGACCGGTAAACGAAACCATGGAGAGAAGTTAGGCGTAACCCAGTTGATGTCCGGGTTGGTGGTTGGGGGTAGGGCGCATTGGGGAGAAGAGATGGATCGCATTGTCCACCCTAAGCGAGGACCATCTTCAAGGTAATTCGGGGGCCAGATCAACCAGCTCCGCACACCCCAACACCCCCCCCCCCCGCCCCCGCCCCCGCCCCCGCCCCCCTCTCTTCAACCGGCGGGGTCACGGGGTATGTACGACAATCGAATCCAGTCGATTTCTAAAAAGGGTAAGTAATCAACTTTCGAAGAATCTTCCATCAGTGGTTGTGAACCACTGACTTTTTCAATCTTTTGGACACTTGTTGCGTGGAAGCAAGTCAGAAAGAGTGAGAAATAGAACTGTCGAAGTCGCCGGAGGAGGATCGATTCGCTGGTCACCGGAGAAGGCGGCGGTGGCGGCAGCGAGAGAGCTGTTGGCTCGTGAGAGAGGAGAGAGACAGGTAAAGGAGAAAAATGAAAAATTGAATTAAAGCGATAACTCGATTACAGCTATTTATATCCGGTTATTCGGGACCACTTATGCCGAACCGGATCCGGTACACTCGCGGGAGGGAACGGAAGAGGAAATAAATACAGTACTAAATTAATTATGGTATTAATCTAATTTCTTACTCTTCGACAAGAAACATCTGATCTGATTCGTTCTCATTAACCATGAGATGATCATCGTAGGTTCATCCTGTTGTCGACTGATGCTCCTATTACACACAGACTCGGAGGGATGAGAACCAGCTATTGAGGTCTAAATCCAACCCCTACACTATTCTCGACCACTACCTGAGCCTATCTCAATCCTCATCCATCCCCACCCAACGTTGTTTCAACAATTAGAACTCCCGCTATGGACTGGTCCACCTATCTCAGCCACATTTGAATGTGCATATATCCCATAAAAAATATCTATAAAGTTTCATGTCAAATTTTTAAACGTGCAATTTTTATTGGTACATATACATAATAATCTCCCGTTTGTAGATACCCGAGCTAAGATTTGGAAGTACCCTATTATTCCGTAGAGTGTGCTTGTTTAGTTTATCACGACCTACGTTCTTTTGAAAGAGTTACTACATTCGAATGCACTAAAATTATCAAATAAGGGGGTGCGGGGGAGAGAGAGAGGGAGTTGACTAAATATGATCAGAATGAAGTCAAGTGCACGTGATATGGCATCGAATGTAGGGTAATAGAGTCTAACATCCATATACCCAAGGGGAAAGGCATAATTGAAAAATAGAATAATAATCCCCCAGATCATTTGGATCCAGGCGTATAGACGAAGGAACTGCTAAACAAAGCGAGGTGTGTAGAAGAAATCGAATTATTCTTCTACTCAATCTGTGACGTGAATCCTTTCTTCTCCTTCCCTCTGTTCTTGGTGTGGGTGTAGCTTACAACTTCCATGCAGAAATACCACTAAACGGCTCTGTGAAAGCTATGCAGACGAGAATAGGGAGACTAAATCTCAAGAACGGCATCTATGATAAGAGATTAACAAAAAATTAGCATCCACCATTCTGCTACAGATTAGTCGATCTAAATCTGGACGTGAACTTGCAGTCCGAGTCGATATTGAGCTGTTAGCTCTAACACATTTTTCCGCGGTCTCCCCCCCCAACCCCCCCCAACCCGCGCTCCGTTGCCGGCCCCAGTTCTCCTTCTGTTCTCCTTTTACTTGGAATATGCACAAATACGAACTTGATTTTCATAATATCTCGTTTTTTGTTGATATCACCAAGCACAATGACATGGCAATTAATATGTAGCACTTAAATTTAATATAAGTTACCTTAAGAATGGCGGAAGATGATTCTATGTAGTCTTCCTGTCAATCCGTAACTCGCAAAGGACCATGCGTCAACCGACATAGCAAGTTTGGAACTCATCCTGATCTAGCGTTTTCTACATATGGCCTTAGAATCAAACTTGAGAAAAAAAATAGGCTTGGGAAGGAAGCTTGACAGGTCGAGGACAGATGCGGGCATCATTCTTGTGAGGTAACGGCTGAAAAGTCGCAATGGCTATTTTGTATAAAGTGATGACGGGAAAAGACAACCTTCTATAACGATATTTTGCTTGAAGCTAGGATATTCCTACTCTCAACCACATGTTTTAGTTTAAGAGATGTTGCTAGAATGCTCTCCACTTCCCTCCCGTTTTTATAATAAATTACGTGATAAAGTTTAAAGTTGATAGCAATGTGATTTTTGTCATTAGCCGTGGATATCTCTCCCTAATGAAGCACCCTACCAAACATAGATACGACTTCATGGCTGATATGAAAGGGCAGTTAGGGAGAGGGCCAAACAACCATATTAAAATTGCAGTAAACGACCCATTTATAGGCTTGATTATGAATCGGGTGTAACTAGAAAGGTACCCGATCAAACGGCAGCTGACGATGACACACATCACTCGTTGGCTTCGTAATTTCTTAAGTAGAAAATATACAATGCTGTTTTATTTCTAGTGCGGGGGAAATTTTTGTCCTATAAGCTCTCTCGAGATGATATGAACCTTGTCGGATTCATTTTCTTGAGTGATACTAGGCGATTGATGTCGAGTCAGTTGTTCTTCCCATCACTAAATTATAATAATGAAAGCACCGCCGAATTGAAAACATTTCTCCTGAGCTCAATTGACGGGTCCGGACTCATTTCAAGGGACGTACTCTACATTTGGCGTTAATTTCGTCACCCAAAGGATGCGTGTGTCAATCGAGCGAGAGAGATAAATGTATTATGAAGCGTGAAATCATGCTCCAACTTATAAAGCCACCTCAGGAGATTCAAAGTTACAGGCGTTGTCTGTCCTCAACGACATAAAAATAACAAAAATCATCATTAGCTAGTAACCCATACGACTTTTTCTTATTCCTGATGGACATGGCGTGGCCGTGTTACGTTGATAATGTCGGCTCGATTGAAGCACTGATTGCAGAGCAAGGTTGAGACCACCATCTGTTTTGTGGTAAATCAAGATCGCGTTTTCAAACGGATCTGGGATGAACTCGGAGGTGACTACGGGAGCGAAGAATAATCGTGGTGATGCCTGGCCTGTAAGTTCATGTTACAGGGGTCAGCACACTGTTATAGCTCTTGATAACTAGAGAGCGAGAGCGAGAGAGAGAGAAAGAGAGAGAGATTCATAAGCGGCTAGAAAAGAAGCCATCTATCTTCAACAGCGACTTCTAAACACTCAGGTTTCACTCTGGTAACAGTGAGATCACTTCGTCATCAATTAGAACATTTTCTTAAATATAATTTCTTGTCTTATCCCCTGAAAAACATCAATAACGGTATCATCCTCCAAAAGTTAGACAAATCGGTACGTCATCTTGGTGTGTGGGGGGAGGGCTCACCTGATCTGTAGAAGGTAATGAGAGAAGAGGACGAAGACTAGATCTCTAAAACAATATCTGCAACAAGCGATTAAAGAGATATGAACACGTCTTGGTATTACAGATCAGTTATTCAAAGCAATCCGACGTGGACTTACACTCCGAGTCCGTCTTTATCCATTTGCTCCCATCCTCTGATCTCTCCTCCGTCTTCTTTTTGTCTGTTGGAGTCATCTTGTCCCCGACCTTATTACTGTGAACCACTCTTTTTTCCAAGAACTTCATAATCGCAAGACCCGTGCTTTGAGGGTATATCTTCTTGCATACCAGTGTTCTCAGCAGCTGTAGGTTTTTCCATAAGAATAAGCGTTTGAAGTTAGTGTGAGAATGATCTAGTTTATACCGCATGCAGTACATATTCCGCTTACATTGCTCAGAAGACGTGGAATGCATACCTTCTCTTTCTTTGACGCCAAGATCGGATCTCTTAAGCCTGGAGCCGGGGTGAAACCACCGCTACATACGAACATTCTCCTGAGGAGCAAAATCGCTTGCTGAGACTTCTGGTTTGTTTGGCTCTCCATTAGTACATCCCTGGCTTTCCTTAGGATGGTCTTCGCCTTTGGGGACAGGTTCCCCATTTCTTCCCCTTTCCAGTCGTCGGCGATCTTCCAGCAGTTCGCCGGTGGCAGCGTGCTAGAGTTGTGTTCGTGTCTTTGTTCCATCGGCTCCAGCAACAGCAGATTTTCCAACTCTCTCTCTAGTCTCTCCATCTCATCTTGTGTGAACTCGGGGATGTCACGCAAGGGGCTCGTCTTCTGGGAATGTTTGTATTTTGGTATCTCTTTCTTTGTCTGGTGGTTGCCAAAGGTTCCAATGGCCAGCAGCCCCTGGGGCCACTCTTCGAACGACTCCTTGCGGCCAGTCTCTTGTGCACTGTAATCTGTGAAATTTGACAAACTAAAGATCAATGCGGTCATACAAATCAGGATCAATTGACATAACATTAGAATGAATTAATATATTTCAAGTATTCTTTTTTACCAGGGATATTCTCACGCGGGATTATAACTAATTTATATGAATATTATTTTTTATAAAATTCATCCATAATATTCCATCTAAAATGCTTAGATCTGGAAATTTTACTACTACACCTGATTTTACAGTCGGCAGATTCCGAAACTATGCTTCGGAGAGATAATATTATTTTCTATCATCTGACAGTTACGTTTATCACAACCAAGGTTGCTTTCAACAGTGAGTTATATTCGAATTCAGAGTTAATAAATCACTTGAGAGAATTGAGAGGGAGAGAAGAGATGGAGAGAGGGGGAGAGAGAGGGAGGGAGGGAGGGAGAAAGAGAGAGAGAGAGGAGAGAGAGAGGAGAGAGAGAGGAGAGAGAGAGGAGAGAGAGAGGAGAGAGAGGAGAGAGAGAGGAGAGAGAGAGGAGAGAGAGAGAGAGAGAGAGAGAGGGAAGAGAGAGAGAGGGAAGAGAGAGAGAGGGAAGAGAGAGAGAGAGAGAACTCGTCAGAGATGACTATATATATTAAGAATAAAGTGAAGTGCATGTGACCTGTAATCTAGCCTAGATCGGGAAGTCTATCATTCACATTCCTAAGATTACGAGGAAAGGAATAATAGAATAAGGATTCCACAGAACATGCGTCCAGATATATAGACGAAGGAATGTCTAAATAAGGGCAAGAACCGTTGGCATCGCCTTTGCTTGACATCTGTCCTTCCTGGGCCGTTTACGTTTTTTCCCACGTAATTTTCCCGGCGGGGGGGGGGGAGGGGGGATTTGGTTTCTATAGCCTCATGAATCTACTCACGATATCAAATAGTTCACCTTGAACCCACCTAATTTAGAGAAAAATGGAAGATAAATACGATAGAGAAGGCCTACAATCAGGGAAAAATAGGAGAAAAGTAATCGTGGGAAGAGTTCTGAGGGGATGTGACGCCTCTAAGAGAAAAGTTGGAGAAAAAAACGATCGTGGTAAGAGTTTTAGTGGATATTCAGGGGATTTGACGCATCTAAGGGAAAAATTGGAGAAAAATGATCGTGGGAAGAGTTTTAGTGGATATTAAGGGAATCTGACGCTTCTAAGGGGAATCAGGAGCTTTTCTACATCAGGGAAAGCCTGTGTATCAAAGCAGCGAGCTCTGGGGATTCATGGTAACGGAGATGAAAGAGGAAGCTCACTCTGCGAGGGGAATGCTTTCTTCTCCTTCTTCCCGTTGATCTTGGTCTGGACCCAGCTTAGAATCTGCATGAAGTCAGTCCAGCGAAAGGATGTTCAGAGCAGTAGAACCAGAAGAGAGCGAGAGAAAGGAAGAGATAGAGGAGAGGGGAGCCATTCTACGTTTATGTTCTAAGAGAGCTCACCCTCATATCGTCGCCTGCAGCTTCTTCCTTGAGGCCTAAACAGAGAAGAGCTTGGCTGCTTGGTTCTGTGTGGAAGACCACGAGAGTTGGAGGTGGGAGGGGGAGCTCACAACAGGAAGCTATATAGAAGACGAGGGGAAGGGTCAGCGCTGACGTCCAATCCACGCTCGCAATCGGTCCACGTCGGTGAGCCGTGGGCAGGGTCATCTTGACGCTAACGGTGGTTTCCGGCGACCAGTCGCCCTCGTTGCCAACTTCACCAGAAGTGGAAATTCCTACTTGCAAGAACGCTGAGTCGAGATTTCTGCGAAGCGTTTAATAAGATGAGTTCCTGCTCTGCTGCAGTCACATGTGTTTGGCCATAAGCTCTTGTCCGTGTGTGTGTGCGCGCGCGCGTCTTTCTCTCTTTCTTTCTCTCATTCTCGCTCTAGTTTTCTAAGCTTCTGTTGGCAGCGGACCTGAAAGAGTTTGGTGACATGACTACTACCTGCCAGGAGCAAAGAAATTGGGCGTCTCGTCGGGCCATCTGCCCTCGTGGGTTGGGTCCCCAAAACCAGGGAGAACCTTCTCGCTGCATCTCATTCTTCTGTTCTTTGCAGGGGAGAGAGAGAGAGAGAGAGAGGGGGGGAGAGAGAGAGAGAGAGAGAGAGAGAGAGAGAGAGAGAGAGAGAGAGAGAGAGAGAGAGAGAGAGAGAGAGACAGAGACAGAGAGACAGAGAGAGAGAGAGAGACAGAGAGAGAGAGAGAAAGACTCCCTGTGGTGGTTGATTGTCGTTCTTCGTGGAGGCAACGGATCCTTGCATTTGATTCCTCATTTTAATATCTGTTTCTTCCCTCGGGCCGGTAGGCCGGGGCGGCAAGTTGTTCATGAATATGCATATCAGTAGCACCGCCTCCGCCGGCGGCCGGCGCTCGGGCACGCACGGGGGAGAAGGGGGGGGCGGGCTTCAGTGGAATCCACAGTCGGCTCTGGCTCCACCGCCGCCCACCCACCAATTCCAGAAGCCCCTGTTGGAATTCTGGCCGATGTGACCGACAGGGCATGCATATGATTCACTATACTCTGATTTTCACCCAGAATTCTCGAGTTCACATTACTTACGGATTCTTGGATTAGCATACTCACTCTCTACTTTATTATATGATCCCTACGTAGAAGTCTACAGGAAGTTGATTTTTGTTTGTCCTGAAATAGGTATAATCAAACTTGGAAAAGAACTCAAAGACTCAAGTGAGAATGACTTCCTACAAAGTCCCTTATACAATGGTTCAACTTATTTGATTAAGACCAGCCATCTCTTCTAGTTAATCCATTATACAATCTCCATCATGAACTTGTGGTATGTGGATTACTAATACAAGTTTGGTGAGCTATGTCATATCTTAAACAACTTTGTGACCTAAAAAGTAATGATTTTCCTCCATGTCCATGGTACATGGAATGAACCAATATAGATCATCATCACTGGAAAGTAATCAAGTCACATCAATTCAATTATTTGATTCTCCACTTAGAAAACCTTACCCAATTGATCCTTAGGATAATGTTAGTGACTTTATTTGAACTTAGGAATAATTCTTAGAATCAAATTATGACATAATTTTTTTAATGCCATTGGTTTTGATAATTACAAGTGAAAATTTATTGATATGTGATTATTGAATATTGATTGTTATTTATATATGTCACAAATATGTCTCAAATATTCAATATGATCATTGATTATATGAATTATCTTTAATAATTTTATTATTATATTGCTAATGATCATATCTAATGTATTACTTATTGATATTAAGTGATTCTTTATATTATTAACATTTGATCAACAAAGAATATCAATTGAAGAATTATTTTTAAATGAAAGAATAAGTATATCATTAAATAGGTATAAGGAAATCATGCAAATTGTTTTATCTTTGATAATATATTTCTGTAATCATATTATGCAGTATTTATAATTTTTAAATGATGATAGACAGGCTCCCTAAGATCTCACATGGATTAAATCATCAAGAGTGTGAGAAAATGAAAGAGATATTCAAGTTTCAAACATAACATCTCAATAGTGACACATCAGCTACTTACATGGACAAAAGGTCATAGTAAACTTGATGATTTGGACTAACCTCCAACCATTCTTTGTCAAGTTAGGAAAATTTAATTTAAATTTAAATGAAAAAGGATGAAGGAACAGGGATATCCAAATATTGGAAGGTTCAACAGTTGTTACCTTGCATTCTAGAAACGACAAGTTCTTGAATGAACTTCTCAAATGTTTGAGATCCAGCAACTTAAAAACTGTTGATGGACAAAGGCCAACTTATGAGATAAAGTTTCTAAATCGAACACTTATTGAACACATAAATATTTAAGCAAGAACTGGAAGCTCTTTTGGTTGTATGCATTCATGACATGTGAAAACCCTGCATCATCTTCTCCAACAGATTTCAACAACACGATCAACTTCATCTTCATGGTTCTAACTCTTTATCAGGCTGTAAGGTAATTGGGTGCTGATAGGGGAGTGATTTGGGTGTAGGCATGTGTTGGTAGCTGTGTTTGGCCCAAAAAGGGTTGTCTCCAAGGAAACAAAGTTGAGGCATTTGGTGGCTGATCTCATAAAAATCAGTGTGTAATTCTTGAGAGAATTAATAAATATTGAAGGGAAGTTTACTTTGAGATTGAACATAACCAGATGAGGGTGAACTAGTATAAAAATTCTTGTGTTCTTGGTAAGAGAGAGTTGGGTGAACATGTATGTTGGCAGAATGACAATAATAAATCAAGAAAACAGAAAAATCTTAGAAACCCCAATTCATCCCCCTTTTGATATTTTACTAAGCCTATAGTTTTCCAACAATTTGTATTTAAACAAACCTTAAAATAAGGATATTAATAAATATCAAGGAATAGATTTTGATGATTAGCAAACACTTAAAACATTCAACCTTATACCAGCCATATTTAATGGAACTAGTTATGTATTTTAGAAAACTAAAATCATGATAAAGAACTCAACACAACTTTTCAGCTCCAAGAACTTAACAACATGATAAAGAGTAAGACATTGCATGATATATCAAGAACAATGCTGGCTGATATTAATCTTCCAAAATATTTTTGTGCTGAAGTAATTAGTAGACCATGTTATGTGATTAATAGAGCTTTGATTAGATCAAAACAAAACAAAACACCTTATGAATTATTTAAGAATAGGAAGCTAAATTTAGATTAAGTTAAACCATTTGGATGTAAATATTTTATTCTAAAACATGGAAGATAAGAACTTGGAAAGTTTGATTAGAAGAGTGATGAAAGAATATTTTTTGATATTTTGAAAAGTCTAAAACTTATAAAATTTATAATAAAAGAACTTTAGTCATTGCAGAATCTATTCATGTGAAATTTATGGAAAAACTCATATTACAAACATTATTTCAAATGGGGTTGATATAAATGAACAAGTTGACAACATAAAATGGGAATCAAGAGAGTGAATCAAGTTGACACACTCATATCCCAATGCCAAAAATGATTGCTTACCTAGGATTTAGAAATATACTAAGAGCCATCTAAAAGAAAATGTCTTAGGAAATTTAAATGATAGGGTTAGAACTAGGTCAGCTGTCAAAAAAATTAAGTGGCATTTACTTTAAAAATTGAATCTGGAAATATAGATGACGTGCCCATGGATGCAGATTGGATCAATGTTATACATGGAGAATTAGAATAATTCAAAAGAAATGATGTTTGATATTTAGTTCCAAGATCAGATCATTAAATTGTGATTGTAAGAAAGTGAGTCTCTAGGAAAAAACTTAAATGAGTGAGTAATAGAAAATAAGATGATTAGTTGTACAAGGTTATGTTTAAGAAGAAGCAACTGATTATGAAGAAACCTATACACCGATGCCTAGCCTTAATGCTATTAGAATTCTTCTCATATTTCTATGTGTGAATAATTTTAAATTATACCAAAGGAATGCTAAAGGTACATTTCAACATGGATTGAATAAGGAATATGTATATGTAGAACAATATTTTGAAATGGAGGATTTACATCATCCTAATAATGTCTTTAGGGTCAAGAAAGTCTTGTATATATACTAAGTTCCATGAGCTTAGTATAAAGAATTAAATTATTATTTTTATTATAAAATGATTTTAAATGAAGAAATGTTGACAACTTTATTTCTAAAATATAAAGTGAAATGATATTTTAATTATAAAAATAAATATTGATGATATTATATTTAGAGTAGGTGACGTGACATAATTATTGTATGATAAATCACACAAATTTAAACTTTATAAAAACTAAAAAATACTAATGTTTAGATTTCTATATCTGGTCATATTTCAGAATGTTTCTCAAAGAATATGAATTTTTATGATTTTTAGACTAAATGATGAAGATAAAATATATTTAAAATTAATGAAAAAGGAAAATTTAGATGTGGACATCACAATGATGTCATCACCCCAACAAATGTGATTTGGGGAAAAAACTTTATTTGGTGATCCTTTTTTAAGTAATTATAGATGATTTAATTAATCAACTTAAGATCTATAAAATTCAAAAGAATTATAATTTAATAAATAATAATTTTAAAGCATGAAATAACACACTATCACTAATTTATGTTAAAATAAATTTTAAAGTAGAAAATACAGAGTTTTAGTTTTGCAGTAGTGATAGCCAAAATTTTATATTCGGGAGGATTATTGTGCAATGTTTATAATTTTGAAGGCTCTCTTTGGATATGAATGATGTGGGCAATTGATAAGTTTTCATTATCATGAATTAATAATCAATAAATAATATAATTTTAGCCTTAACTTATGATAAATAGACTTATATTTGTGTTAAATTATGAAAAGTAGTTTTCAATTGATTAACGTGATTTTGTGGCTAATTATATGATTTTTTAAGAATTTATATGATTTTTATAGTCTTATTTTTGAGATAAATAAAGAAAAATAAATTAAAATAAAAAATAGCAAAAAAGGGGGACCTGTTAGCTAGTCAGGCCCACAAGCAGGTCATAGGCGTATTTAGGGGGAGCTGTGAGTAGGGGCTCGAGTGGCTAGAACTGATGGGGGCACATGTGTGCCACCTTCCTTTCACGTCACTAGTGGCCAGTCGACTGTGGGGCAAGGAGTGGTCGTATATGTGGGAGAAAGGGACTCATTACTTGTAAATATGATATTACTATATATTCACCCAAAACTTCGATGCACAAGCGATGTGGGACTAAACCGGCATTACACCTTCCCCTGAAAGGCTTCGAAGATTTTAATACCTAAACTATCCCTTTGTTATAATAAAGATATATCATGATGACGTCACTTGATAAGGGCATTATAATACTTATTTTAATCTCTCTCATACAAGCGGACAATTGGCATGGGTTCGAATCCTCACTAACGTGACTTAGTCATTGTGTAGTAAATCACGCAAATTTAAAATTTATAAAACTAGAAAATATAAATTTTTAGATATTTAGAAGTAACTTTGAACAAATATATCAATTATAATTCAATAAAATTTTCAAAAATAACAATAATTTTCCAGGTCGGTGATGCACCGAAATCTTGAGCGTTTGAGAGGATCGTCATGTAGTATCCATGGCTTCGAAGGCTCTTCTTAGACAAGGATGACGTAGGCAATCTCTAGATCTCCTTGCAAAGTCTAGAGATCAATGAAATGGGTCATCGAATCATCTCCAATGGCTATCACTCGGCGGAGTGAAAAAATAGTGACTTTGCAGCTCTCTAGTGGTTGTCACCTGATGGAGAGGAGCTAGATGGAGGTGGGGCACGTGTTAGGGAGCTTCATCCTCAAGTCCGCACAGCAAGAGGAGGCTCTTCATCGCATTTGGTACGCTCTCAGAAGGTGGCAACTCGTTTCCCGGCGGATCGTCCTCTTACCGAAGACGGTTTATTCGTCAATCAATCGGAGATATTTTACTCGATGAATTTGCAATCCTTTTATCGTGAATCGTTTAATAATTTTAGTAACAATATTTTGCAAATCGTGTTGACGAGATTTTCGCCGATGATCTAGTGATTTTGATGACTTAATCCTTCACCGACAATCTACAAGAAAGTCGCGATAATCAGATAAAAAATATGAGTTTTGGCTCGGGGAGGATTCAAACCCGCGCTAGTTGCCCCCCCTTTCTGAGGAAGGTGTGACACAAGTTTAGTCCCACATTATTTGTGCGTTGAAGTTTTTGGTGAATATATAGTAATATTATATTTACAATCAAGTCCCTTTCTCAAGCATGTACAACTACTCCTTGCCTCACAATCGGCTGCCCACCAGTGATGTGAAAGGGGAGTGGCGCACACGTGCCCTTATCGGTTCAAGCCGCTCAAGCCCCTACTCGTGGCTACTCCTTGACCGTGCTTCTGACCCGCTTGCGGGCCTAGCTGGCCGGCGGGTCCCTCCCCATTTTGTTTTATGTTTATTTTTATTTCTTTTTCTTCATTTATCTCAAAAGTAAGACTATAAAAATTATATAAATTCATATAAAATCACATAATTACTCAAAAATTCACGTTAATCAACTGAAAATCACTTTTGATACTTTAACACAAATATAAGTCTATTTATCATGAGTAAGGCTAAAACTATATTATTTACTAATTATTAACTCATGATAATAAAGACTTATCACACCCCCAAACTTAAATCATTGCTAGTCCCTTAGCAATAGAATTACAAAAATAAAAATTTACAAATCTCAAACATCATATTTCAATACATAAAAAAAAATACAATTAGAAATGATGTACTTTTAGACACTTTGGATTCTTATATTCAGTATTTAAGGATGATGTCAAGCACTTAAATGTTTAAGTACTCCTTAGAATAACAATCTAGACTTCACTTCTTCTATTCACATTTTTATCACTTCTTCACTCATAGATATATTTATAAGATATTCCAATTATCAATACTCATCAAAGAATAATATTGATCGTACATTTCCTTTTTTCCATGGCTTGATTTTTGAAGTTTGTACTATATTTCTTTCTTTTTATATATATATATATATATATAGTCGATAAGTAGCTTTTCTTGTAGACAAATTTTGACAATAAGAATGATGTCTCACACCCTCCATGTGTACTCTTCATTTTCAGGGCTTTCACTTTATCCACTTATTTTGCAGTGTGTTTTTCTATGCACGATTTTCGACAATGAGAATGATGTCTCATACCCTCCATGTGTACTCTTCGTTTCTAGATTTTTCACATTGCTCTCTTTTTTCTCTCGAAATAAATGATTTCTCCTCACAAGTCCTATAAACCAAGGTGCAAAAATCTCCATTAAAGTCAAATGATCAATCAAATTTTCAAATCAAGTAAATACTATCCATCAAGATCATGAAGTGAAAATCTGTAAAATCAAATCCATGTTATCTATCATGTATCCAAGGAGTATTCCAACATTTCATGCTACTAGATCATTCTTTTGACTCAATAATAATCTTTCTAGTATCTTTTGGTATCAATCAATCTAATTGATTTAATTTTTCATGCATGCAATATGATGTAAGAAATTTGTAAATTAGATAGTTCTGACAGTTCTGTTTTCTGTTTTCAGTTTTATTTTTAGCAGCAATAAATTTGTCAAAAATAAATCAAAACTATCCTCTTTATAGCTGTAATTTCGAATTTCAGTAATATATGTCTAGGGAATTGAAATGTGAGAAAAGGGTCTCTAGAATTTCAAATTTCGGGCTGTTTTTTGTCTGCTGTTTTTGACAGTCTGTTGTTCTTGACAGAAAACTAGAAAATAGATGTTGCAATTTTTCCGAATTTTATTTTATTTTTATTTTTTTAGTTGCTGTTCTAAGTTGAATAATGAATACTTCACCCCCCAACTTAAAAATGACATTGTCCTCAATGACACAGAAAAATTGAAACAGAATATGCAGAAAATATAATTTTCACGTGAAGTATGCATATGTGCAAAGTTAAGCATTAAAAATATTTTCATAAATGATAAAACTCAGAAAGACATCACCTCAACCTTGTTTTTAATTTTCCACTTCATCTTACACTCCTCCTCCTGCACTTTTTCGAAAGAACAAATATAGAAACAAGTACTGCGAAATTCTAAGAAAAACAGAGCTTAAAAAAAATCAAATAGAATGAAATAAAAACCATGGGTTGCCTCCCATGCACTGCTGAATTTAATGTCTTCAGTTGGACAACTCTTAGATCATATAAGATGATCTATGGCCATCAAAATATATTTGTATCCCAAGGTAAGTTTCATGATATTCTTTTTCAGATTTAGCATAAATTTATATACTTCATATATATACCTTGACATACTTTCAGCCAAAACAAAATAGAAATTAACAAAATCTTCCCAAAAATAATATTTCCATTTTGAAAAGAATCTTTCCTCATTTCTATCTTGTTTTGTAAGGCTCTCATTCATTAATAAATACTTTCTATTAATAGACCATAAAATGTGATCAGGCCATATAATTTTCAAATTAGCTCTTACCCAATCTAGAATTTTTTCATCTAAATTGATATTTCTAATTCTTCCACTCACCCATTTCTTAATGTGTTCTTTTATCTACATAATCTTCCCCTGCTCCATTTTATCTTCCATACATATTTGTTCAATTTGTGAGGAGTGAAATATTTCAAGCTTAGAAATAATTCTAATGGGCTGTGGGTTTTGAAGGATGGAAGGATTGTCTTCTTTAATCTCAGATCTAATGAATTCAGTAAAATTCAAATTTTCTCCTCCAAAATTATCTCTATATTCATATTCATTATTTTCGTTTCTCCCTATTAGTTGAATCAACTCTTTTTCTAGCTTTTCGTTTCTCAACTCATCAAATTCTTCATCTTCCCAAGAGCTATCTTTTAATTTCAATATATGATATACATCATCATCAACATCCATAGCTACAAAATTATGATTAGATTTATTAATTTCGTCTCCTACATCTCCCAAATCAACTGATTTTTCCTCACCTGAAATATGTTTTTCTTCATTTTTGTCCTTACTCCTACTAAAATTTGGATGATTTTTCCATGATCAGTTGCTGTTTCTTCATCTAAGGGCTCTTTCTCCTCATCATCCTCACTATATTCATTCATCGATTGTGGGCAATAAATAATTTTATTCAAATTTTCTGCTACTATATTTTCAGCCTTAATATTCTCATTTACTTCTAATGGCTCATCAATTTCTTCTAATAATTGGAAATAAGGATCAGATAAAATATTCTCACTCAATGTATTCACTAACCTAACATTTTCATTTCGTGGGTTTTTTTCTAAATTTATCCAACTAGACTCTCCTTACTGAAATCCTACTGTTGGGCGGTTCCCTAGATTTTCTATGGGCTGACTAGGTAGCTGTCCCTCTTCTCTCTTATTCCCAAGAGCCTTTATAATTTATTTCTGGTGCAGCATCATTTGATTCATAGTTTGTTGTATTATTTGGCTCATTTGCTGCATCATTTCCATAGCATTAGGTTGGATTTGAGAGGGCTGATTTTTCTGAAATCTGTGTTCCTATTTTGGACGAAATTCAAAATTTGAATTGGATCTAAGTGCTTCTGGATTTTGAATATTATTTGGGTTTCTCCACGAAAAATTATTCCCCCAATTAGGATTATAAGAATTAGAAAAATATTCTCTATTTTTACTAAAATCGTGGGGTACCTGCACTTGTTCTTGCCTATGACGATATTGAAATTCGAAATGATCATTTTCACCATACATAGGACATGTACTATTTGAATTAAATTGAGGGTTAAGAGGCTTTCTAATATTTTCAATAATTAAATCAAGTTTTTCTAATATTTGATTAATCTGATTAACCTCATTTCTAAATTTAGAATCATCATCATGATGCAATTCATAAATTCCTCTCTTCTTTACCCTGTCATATAATTCAAAAGAGGCTTGATCTCCAGAATTTTCACTTAAATTCTCATAAAGACTGTAAATCTCATCAGAAGTTTTCTCCATAAAAGTTCTTTCACATATAGAATCAACCATATTTCTATGTTGTTCTAATAATCCATCATAAAAAATTCTATTGAGCTGCCACTTGGGTATAGCATGATGAAGACACTTTCTAAGTAAATCTTTGAATTTTTCTCATGTCTCATGCAAAATTTTTCCTAGTCTTTGAGAAAAACTCCATATATATTTTCTCATATTTTGAGTTTTTCCTAAGGGATAAAATTTTCGAAGAAAGGCCTGTTCTATATCTTTCCAGCTAGTTAATTCTCTATCTAATGTGGATAGCCAATGACTAGCTTTATCCCTAAGTGTATAAGGAAATAATTTCATCTTAATAATTTCCGGTGTAACTTGAGGGAGATTAACTAAATCACAGACCATATGAAATTTTTCTAAGTGCTGATGAGGTTCCTCTAAAGGTAATCCATAAAAATTAGGGAGCATTTGAAAAATTCTTGAATTTATTTCGAATTTAACATTGGGTGCTAATGGGACTCTAATATTGGATGCTCTTTGAAATAAATCAGGGATATAATAATTTTTCATGGCCATAAGATTGTTCTCAATTTGACGTGTACTTCCTTAAGGATCTATCAAAATTAATTTTTTCTTTTGGATTTTTAGTTTTGAATGAAATAATGAAAGGATTTTCTAGCCTTGGATGCAAGGATCTTCTACCATGCATAAAAAATAAATAAATTCGAGGGAAAAGTTTAGTAATTTTTACCCTCCTTCAGTATGTTCCAGTCCTTGCCTTGCTTCTTTTCGTTCCCTTTTTCTTAAAAAAAAAACAGCAGAAAGAAAATAAAACAAGAGTTAATTTTTTTTGTGTACTCTAAGAGAAAAACAGAAAAATACTAAATATTATGTAATACATCCTCGGCAACGTCACCAAAATTTGACGTGACTTAGTCATTGTATATTAAATCATGTAAATCTAAAATTTATAAAACTAGAAAATACGAATTTTTGGATATTTAGAAGTATTTCTGAATAAATATATCAATTATAATTCAATAAAACTTCCAAAAATAGCGATAATTTTCCAAGTCGATCATAGGGAGGAATATAATATCTGGTAATTATTCAGAATTTTCCTCAAAGAATACTATTTTCTATGAATTTTATACTAAGAAATGAAAAGAAAATATATTTAAAATTCACGAAAAAAGGAAATAAGGGTGCGGACGTCAGGATGATGTTAGCGCTCGGCAAACATGAATCGGGCGGAAACAGAGTTCCCCCTGACGATTCTTATGTAAGTGATTACTGACGATTTAATTGATCAAATTAAGATCTGTAAAAGCCAGAAGAATCGTAAGTGAACGAAGTATATTTTGGTAAATTAAAATCACACAAATTATCACTAAATGAAGCGTAAAGTAAGTTGAAAGCAGGAAAACAGAGTTCCGGTGTCACGGCGGCGATGCGTCGGCGATGCACCAGAATCTTGAGCGTTCGGGAGGATCATTGTGTAGTGTCCATGGCCTCGAAGGCTCTCCTTAGACAAAGACGATGTGGGCAATCTCTAGATTTCCTTTCGAAGTCTAAAGATCAATGAAATGGGTCGTCGAATCGTCTTCGGCGGCTGTCACCCAGCGGAGCAGAAAAACGACGACTTTGCGACTCTCCGGCGACTGTCACCTGACGGAGAGGAGCTGGATGGAGGTGGGGCGTGTGTTAGGGAGCTTCATCCTCAGGTCCGCGCAGCAAGATGAGGCTCTTCATCACATCTGGTACGCTCTCAGGAGGTGGTGACTCATCTCCCGGTGGATTGTCCTCTTTCCGATGACGGCTTGTTCGTCGATCAATCGGAGATGATTTACTCGATGGATTCGCGATCCTTTTATCGCGAACCCTTCATCAATTTGAGTAACAATGCTCCGTGAATCGCGTTGACGAGATTTTCGCTGATGATCCAACAATTCTGGTTGCTTAATCCTTCACCGGCGATCTACAGGAAAGTCACGATAATCAGATAAAAATATGAATTTTGGCTCTGGGACGATTCGAACCCGCGCTGGTTGCCCGCCCTTTCTGGAGAAGGTGACGGGGGTTTAGTCCCACATCGGTTGTGCGCCGAAGTTTCTGGTGAATATAAAGTAATATTACATTCCCGATCAAGCGCGCGTGTAAGACCACTCCTTGCTCCATAGCTGGTTGGCCACCGGTGACGTGGAAGAGGAGTGGCGCACACGTGCCCACATCATTGGTTCAAGCCGCTCGAGCCCTTGCTCGTGGCTACTCCCCGACTGTGCTTCCGACCCGCTTGCGGGCCCGGCTGGCCGGCGGGTCCCCCCATTTTGCAATATTTTAGTTTTATTTATTTTTCTTCATTTATCTCAAAAGTAAGACTATAAAAATCATATAAATTCGTATAAAATCACATTAATCAACTGAAAACCACTTTTCACACTTTAACACAAATATAAGTCTATTTATCACGAGTTAAGGCTAAAACTATATTATTTACTAATTATTAACTCATGATAATGAAGACTTATCAAGAGCCTTCAAGGTTGTAGACACTACACGATGATTCTCCCAAATACTGAGGATTCTAATGCATCGCTGACGCGTCACTGTCATGATGCCACAACTCTATTTTTCTAATTTCAACTTAATTTCTGCTTTATTTACTAATAATTTATGTGATTTAAATTTACCAAACTATACTTTATTCAACTATGATTCTTTCAACTTTTACAGATCTTAATTTGATCAATTAAATCATCTGTAATCGCTTACGTGAGAATCACTAGGCGGAACTCTATTTCCATCCTATTTGCATTCATTGGGTGCTAACGTCATCTTGACGTCTGTACCCTTATTTTCCTTTTTCATGAATTTTAAATATATTTTATTTTCATTTCTTAGTATGTTATTCATAAAAAAATTGTATTCTTTGAGAAAAATTTTGAAAATTACCCGATATTATATTACATCCCTATGATTGGCTTGGAAAATTACCACTATTTTTGGAAAAAAAATTAATGAGTTATAATTGATATAGTTGTTCAGAAATACTTCTAAATATCTAAAAATTAGTATTTTTAAGTTTTATAAATTTTAAATTTACATGATTTACTATACAACGACTTAGTCATGTCAGCAATCTCTTGATTTTCTTACAAAATTAAAAAATTGATGAGGTGTGTCGACGAATCATTTGTAGCAGTTGTTACTTAGTGGAGAGGAAATATAGCGAGTTACAAATCTCCGACAATTATCACCCGATAGAAATAAGTTGGATGAAGGTGGAGCATATTGTAGGGAGCTTCATCCTCAAGTCCATGCAGCAAGATGGGGCTCTTCATCACATCTAGTATACTCTTAAGAGGTGATGACTCATCTCTTGTAGATCATCCTCTTCTTAATGATGGTTCATTCGTTGATCAAGTAGAGATGATTTTTCTTGATAGATTTACGATCTTTTAATCTAAAATTATTTTATAGTTGGCAATGATACTCTGTGAATTATGTTGACGATATTTTAACAAATAATTGAGAAATTTTGATAACTTATCATTGACTAGTGCTCTATAAGAAAATCATGATTTTATTAGATGAAAATATAAATTTTGACTCTAATGAGATTTAAATGCTCATCGGTTGCCCACCTACATAAGAAAGAGTTAAATTAGTACACGAATACTCTTATCAAGTGATGTCATAGAGGCATTTACTTATAAATTAGGGATATTTTATGTATCAAAATAATAAAAATATGCCAAGGTGTACACTCAACTATTTTCTAATTTTTGAGACACATATATAAAAATACCTTTTTAATTCATCAATATAGTCCTCATAGGTGTGTACACTACTCCTTATTCCACATCGAGTTGGCAACCAATGACTTAGAAGGGGAGTGACGTACACATGCCTACAACTAGTCCTTAGCCACTCAAGCCCCTTGTGGCTCTACCCATCTACCTCCTTGCGGGCCCCACTGGCTAGTAGGTCTCCTTTTTTACATATAGTTTTATTTTATTTTATTTCTCTTCACTTTATCTTAAAAATATGATTATAAAAATTACATAACTTCACATAAAATCACATAATTAGCCAAAATTTCACATTAACCTACTAAAATAACTTTTCTTACTTTAACATAAATATGTCTATTTAGCATGAGTTAAGACTAAAAATATATTATTACATAATTATTAACTCATCATAATGAAGACTTATTGATAGGTGATGAAGCTTTATATAATGAATTCTCCTCATGGATGATAAAGAAATATTGAATGAGCATAATCAGATAATGAAGTTTATTTCTTTGCTTAAAAATTAAATAATTACAAAATAAAAATTTTATATCTCCAAATAAATATACAAATGAACTATTTGAAAAAGACAATGAAAAATTTGAAGTTCAAAATAACTCCCATGGACACATTCTAAATTGGACCCAAATGATAAAGGAAAAAGAAGATATAAAGTTATATTAAAATAATTGAAGAATGATTAGATCAATACTATATTTAACTATTAGTAGACTGATAAGTTTTCATTATCATGAGTTAATAATTAGTAAATAATATAATTTTAGCCTTAACTCATGATAAATAGATTTATATTTATGTTAAAGTGTAAAAAGTTGTTTTCAATTGATTAACGTGAATTTTTGGGTAATTATGTGATTTTATACAAATTTATATGATTTTTATAGTCTTACTTTTGAGATAAATGAAGAAAAATAAATAAAAATAAAAATAAAATAAAATGGGGAGTACCCGCCAGCCAACCGGGCCCGTAAGCGGGTCAGAAGCATAGTCGGGGAGGAGCTACAAGTAGGGGTTCGAGTGGCTAGGACCGATAGGGGTACATGTGCGCCACTCCCCTTCCACATCACTAGTGGCCAGCCGGCTGTGGGGCAAAGAGTGGTCGTACACGCGTGAGAAAGGGACTTGATCGGATATGTAATATTACTATATATTTGCCAGAAACTTTGGCACACAACTGATGTGGGACTAAACTTGCATCACACCCTCCCCAGAAAGGGCACACGACCGGCGTGGGTTCGAATCCTCTCAGAGCCAAAACTCATATTTTTTATCTGATTATCCCGACTTTCTTGTAGATTGCCGGTGAAGGATTAAGCAACCAGAATTGCTAGATCATCGGCGAAAATCTCGTCAACACGATTCGCGGCGCATTGTTACTAAAATTGCTGAACAATTCGCAATGAAAGGATCGTGAATCTATTAAGTAAAGCATCTCCGATTGATCGACGAACAAACCATCGTCAGGAAGAGGACAATCCGCCGGGAGATGAGTCACCACCTCCTGAGAGTATACCGGATGCGATGAAGAGCCTCATCTTGCTGTGCGGACCTCAGGATAAAGCTCCCTAATATGTACCCCACCTCCATCTAGCTCTTCTTTGTCGGGTGATAGTCGTCGAAAAGCCACAAAGTCGCTATTTTTCTGCTTCACCGGGTGACAGCCTGATGTAGGACGGGGCGAGAACCTCTTGTACCTGATCAATGAAACTCAAGACCCAAGATCGGGTAGTCGGCTCGATCCAATAAGAATGTATGAAT